CGTTCTTGCTTTCTCCTCACGAGCAATCCCATCACCCCCAGTCCCTACAGCCTCACCAGGTCCCCACCCTTCCACAGAATTGGACGGTTCAGCTATTAAACATTAGGATCAGAAAACCATCCTTTTAGGAACTAAACAATTTACATTTGGTGTCACTGTGTTTCTGTTAAATTTTAACTCAGTACCTGTGGGTGGGTCATGCCGTCTCTCATTGCCATAATCCCCACCATCCCTGTTGTATTATGTGTGGCCTGCTTCACTCAGGTACCTGCCTGGCTCTTGAAAACATTTAGAGTTGATACTCCAATGATCTCCTAGGGGCTCCCAGGTTTCCATGCACGGTTTCTACACTCAACCCACCCCTCCATCCTGGGTGCATTCCCAGCCAGCCATTCAGACCCCTCGAGGCTCTCGCCTGTACCCTGAGGCACACCTCGGCTCTGCATTCTTTTCCTCCTAGTGACTTGCCCAAGTATTGCCTTGTCCTCACCCCAACATCAGTTTCCTTATTCTCTGTGTGTGCATCTTGGAGAAAGGGTTCGCAGGAAACATGTCATCAGAAGTTGTGATTTCACAGCATGTGAGTAGATGCAGTTTCACCAGTTTTTGAAGGGTTGATCTTTATGCAGGTTGGCATCTCCTCTCTACAGTGTTTCTAAGAGAAAATATGTCCCAAATTCCAAACAACTGAATTCTGAATGAATGTGACAACCCAATCCTTTCATAACTTGAGAACTGCACTGATCAAAGTTCAGGTACTGTGGAAAGCTCACAAACTTCAGAGACATTCAGATGTGAATTTCTATTCTGGCTTTGCCACCTACAAATTAGATGACTTTGGGAAAATTATGAAACTCTCTGAAGTATGTTATATCTGTAAAATTAGGAGAAAATCTTGCTTAGTGTTGGTACAAAGATTTAGTGAAAGTCAGTACAGACAGCTCCGAGCATGGTGGCTGGTGCACAGGAAACACTCATAAGTAACAATTATTATAGTTGCCATAATAAAAGGAAGAAGGATAATCTACGATATTTGTTAAATTATAAAAGTAACTTTTTTACATAAAATTCAACATCTAATTAACATATTTTTATTTTGGAAAGTTGCAGAAAAGGGGAAACTTAAAAGGAGAAAATAGAAATCAACCAGAATTTCATTATTCAATGAAAACCACTGTTAAAATCTTGGTGCTTTTCCCCTCAGTATTTTACCATGCACATGTATGCTTTACACAGCTGGAATTAAGCCAGATATAATGTTATTTGACATCCAACATTTTTCACTTAAAATACAATAAGCTTTTCTTCAGTAAAAATTCTATACAAATGATAGTTTCAAAAAAAATTAAAATTTTAGGGAGTTTTTAAACTACTCAATAATTTAATTATCCATTCCTTTAATGCTGAGCAGTTAGCTTATTTCCCTTTTTTTTACTCTCATAAACAACACTTCCATATAAAATTCTGGAATTTTTATTTTTATCTATATTTGTGTTTATTTACTTAAATAGCTCCCTAGAGGTAGTATTGTCAGGTCAAAGGGTGCTCACACTTCTAATCCTCTTGCAACTGACAGCTGAGTAGCCCTTCAGAAATGCTATAAAAACATATCCTCTGGGATGTTTTAAAATTCATGCTATTGCCTTCCTGTTCGCTTCTGCGAGGAGTCCAGAAGTTGACTCCATTGCCAAAGAACAGCTACTTTGGAGAGTGGATATTGGGACCTGTCCAGCATACACTTCCTTTTCCTTCCATGGCCCCAAATTCCTTTTGGGGAATTTGTCTCTGCCCCTTGTGCAGTCTTAATGGCACTCCAGCATTGGAAGGGTCCCCTGGGCAGAGGAGAGGATGACAATGGAGAAGCCAGCTGCAGGAGTGACCACATCTGATCTTGCTACCAGGCTGGAAAGCTGTTGTCTGAGCTCCTAGGGCAGGGGCTCACCTTTGGCCTGAGGGCCTCTCTCTGCAGTGGGTCAGGCCAGTGCTGGAGTTTTTAAATAATACCTCGGCTCTTCTTTTCCTTTCCTTAGTCCCAAATCAGGCAATTAATCCCTCAATGCCAGGCACAGGGATGGGGCCCAGCACGTGTTCACTAATATGACCATGGAGGGTGACAGAGAGGCTGAGAGGAGTGAATGGCCACAATATGCACCACATAACTGTCTCCTCAAGCCTTGTTCCCAAAGAAAGCCCCTGGAGAAATCCACCAAGATGTTAGTGACCCTTTCTCACACTAGGTTTGTCCTGCCATCTAGTGGTGGGCAAAGGAAGATGGGCAGGGACCAGACCCCCCCGCAGAGGGTAGTCAGGGCTCCAGGAAACTGCAGTCAGGAGGCCACCAGTGGGTAAGCAGTCGGGGTGGGGGAAGACCTAGAGCAGCCCGTGGGCACCTCAAAACTCAGGTGCTGTGTGAAGGCAGCAAGGGCAGGGATTATTCTTGATAATAATTACAGCTACTGTTATTGAGCACTTACTATCTACCAAAGACTCTCCAAAGTGCTTTTCATGCTTTCAATCTTTTAATCCTTCCAGCAGCCCCTTGTGAGGATGGGGAAACTGAAGCCCAAAGAAGTCAAGTGACTGGCCCAAGTTCACACAATTCGTCAGTGGCAGGGTGGAAATCACATCGAGCATGATCTTGGGTAGCTTGGGTTTCTAGAAATATTTCTAGAATCAGAGAGAGAGAAGTTCTCCTGCATCCCTTTTGTTCCATTACCCCCACCCCGACCCAACCCATCTCTAGACAACAGAGGGTAGTTTTGTTCACTGTGGTTCACTGCCCCATTTCTACCTCTGTGCCTCTTGAGTCCCCAGGTCTCTACTCTGAGCAACTCCAAACGGAAGCTTTTCTCTCCCTAGGCCTGCAGATTGTCAGCAGGGGAGAGAAGAAGGTGGTGGTGAAGTCCCTTGTCCACAGGCAACAAACATAAAATGTTTTAGACTAACATTCCCTGTTCTTTTCCCTTATTGGTCAAGTGAGATGGAGACGCAAACCAGGCCCCTAAAAGACACAGTCTCATCTCAGGTGGGCCACTGTAAGATTCACTTCCAAATTCAGAAAGAGCTTCTTGTACAGGCCCAGGCCTACCCCAGCCTTGTTCCATAGGCTGAGAGGCAGCCAGCCATCCAGGCAACACGCAAGGAGGCCAGGTGACCTGTGGGCCTGCAGACACCACCCGTTAGGGGGCGCTGAGGTTTATTTAGGAAACAGCAGCCATTCCTCCTGCTGGGCCCACCCAGATCAGTAATAAACCACCTATTTTTAGTTTAGGGTTTTGTTTTGCTTTTCCCTTTTTAGAAATGTATCCAGACCCTTTTCCCAGGGTTGGGAGCTTGAGCTGCAATGAATTTACTGCTCAGGGGATAGAGAGAGAGCAGTTTGGAAAGGAGAGCGATCTTCAAATGCACTTGGACTGCGATTTCCCTACTAGAATAAAAATCTGTCCGCAATAACTTCAACCTATTTCACTCAATACAAATGTACCACTTATGCCTTAAAAGACCCAAAAGACTGATGTTTGGCACCTGCAAGGCTCCTTCTCCTCAGAGTCAGATCCTCAGCCGCTGTGTCCTCACAGGCACCCCCATCCTTGCTTAGCTGCTCCTAGCACCACTCACTGCCTGCCTGCCTCTCCCAGAAGTGGACAACCTCTTGCCCTTTAAAGTACCAGTTGCTGCCCTGCCGGCCGTGGCTCAGCAGTTGAGCATCCATGTAGGATCCAGGAGATTGAGGTTTGATTCCCAGTCAGGGCCCATGCCCAGGTTGTGGGCTCAATCCCCAATCGGGGGCCTGCAGGAGGCAGCTGATCAATGACGACTCTCTCATCATTGATGTTTCTATCTCTCTCTCCCCTCTCCCTTCCTCTCTCTGAAATCAATAAAGATATATATATATCAGTACCAATTGCTGGTTTTTACCACTCTCCAACCTAGACACCTGTTTATTTCCTTTTCTTGCAATGATATGATCAATAAACTTTATTCACTCATTTAGACAACCATCATTTATTGATCACCCATCATGTGCCAAGCAAGCACCAGGATAAAGAGTCACCCACAGCCAAGAGGAAGGCTAGTAAATGAAGCAATTACAATATGGTGTAGAAAATGGTAAGCCAGAGATATACAAAGATATTATAGAGGCCCTTCCATCACCTCCTCTTCCCACTTTCCTACCTTTCTCCAGCTCTGGCCTCAAGCTCCTGCCTTCATCCACTGCAGAACCTCTAGGTTTCACTGTAGCTAAATAGTTAGATGTCCCCCTTGTCCTAGCATGACACAAAACCAACCACAAACTGAAAAGGAGCCATGGCAGCCTCTGGAGCATGGACCACTCCAATAAGAAAGCACATAGGAGGGGAGAGAAGTTCACAAATGTACCATCAGTACTGGTGCTAAACATAAGGTTTGTGGAATGCCTAAATGAAGGATAGAATGAATAGATAAGTAATTGAATGTCAACTTTCAACCTTGAAGCAAAACTGAATTTTAGAGTTTCTAATACTTGTGCTTGTTCCCCAGAAAGTCCTCTACAAAGATTTTTATTTTAAGAAATTAAAATTACTTAAAAGTTCACTGAGAATGTAACAATGTACTTGAATAAAAAACTAGAGCTGCCGAGGGGAGTTTCAGAACCAGGTCTCTAGGTCATTTAGGCGGGAGAAAGTCAGTGGCCACCCCCACTGGTGTTAGGGAGGAAGCTCCAAGTTCCCCAGGCCAGAGCCTTGTGAGGCGACTTGACTGTTGGGGAGACAGAGCTACAGAAGGTGACAGGTTAGGGGCTTCTTACTTAACCAAACAGATGTACAATCCTTATCACTAGCTGGAAAGTTATATGTGAATCGACATTTCCATGTTTCCTACTTAAAAGAGAACTTCAGGGAAGACTTTGGTGTCGCAAACAATTGCATTCTAATATGTCTGTTCTGTAAATGGAGATGCGCTGTAAACAGGACCAGAATCAGGAGGAAGAAAGTTGTCGGGGGCCTATTTTGAACAACTTAAATGTCCTTCAGTGCTCCCTGATTCTCTGAGATAAACTGGCTGAAGCTTCTGACTTTGGGGTTTAGTCGGTGGGTGAGCTTGACATCACGGTCTGGCTTCATGTGATAGAAACGAAACATGTTGGCCATTTCCGCCGCTCCAGGAAATCCCAGCTTCTCGTAAGCTTCCATGGTGATCTTTTAAGAACAAGTTAAAAAATAATAATAATACATTTTTAAAATAGGAAGTGTTTCAGCTCTCATTGAAAATAGTCTGAGAATAAATTATTCACCTTAATGATGATATAGGTCCACAGTTCTTTAGCCTAACTCCAAAACCCAAAAAAACTCTCATTTTTTCATAAGCAATTGAGAGCAAACTGACTTTTCTGAACTACTTCTGATCTGAACTTACATGAAGCTATTTATGCTCTTTAATGATCCCATTTAGTGAAAATAGTCATATATTTTTCTGCAGAGATATTCATGTGTTTGATTACAGGTTCCTGCCCCGCCTCTGATGATGTTACATAACACATCTAGAACAGCCTATCTAAAGCTGAAAGCGTCTGAAAGCTGAATTGTTTCTGGCCTCAAGCATTTTGGATAAGGTACTATAGATCTGTCCCCCCTTCATCTGACCAGCTTTCATATACATTTCCTCATGGGATTCTCTGAGCAGCCCTCTCAGAGATAGTCCACCCATCTGGCCCTCAAGCAGCGCCAGGCTCCCACACACTCTGGCACCAGGCTCCCTGTCCTCTCCTCCTGGCTGATGTCCCTTCACCATCATTCCCCTCCTTGATCAGAAATGAGCATCTTGACTTCAACCATCCATCCCAGACTCTTCCAGGTCTAGGTTCAAACAAGTGCTGCCCATCACACACTGACAGAGCTGCCTCTGTCACCTTCTACAAAACCTACCTCTTGAGTCCCTCTGGCACTAACTAGATCAATAATCCCACCTGAATTAGTAAAAACTGTTTCTAACTATTGAATCCAGTGTAATCTGTCTTAAGCCCCCAGAGTAAACTCTAACCTTGCTATTCTACTTGGCCTTAGAAAACTGACATATGAACAACTCATATAAAACAATGATTGTCATATGTCATTTATAATATGAAAAATCAATAACTAACATGTGTAAAAACAAAGGAATGGCAGAATAAATTATAGTATGTCTACTTTAAGATTATGTAGTTATTAAAATTAATGTTTTTAAAGAATTTGAACAAAATTTAAAAATGCTCATAATATAATGTTTAATGAAAAAGCTAGGTACAAACATGTATATAGATAGATGATAGATAGATAGATAGATAGATAGATAGATAGATAGATGATAGAAAGAAATATGTTTGTATCTGTATATACTAGAAAAAGACTAGAATAAAATGTGCCAGATCTTAACAGTTGCTATCTCTGAGTATGTGATTTTTAAAAAATAATTTTCTGTATTTTCTGAAATAAGCATTTATTTTTGAAATAAGAAAAAAAATTTAAAACTTTAGTAAGAAGACTACACAAGAAGCGTGGAAGATGACTTGGAAAATGTCTGTTTCCTTGGGTGGTCTCTCACCCTTTAACTCTGACAACTAATATTCCTTAGTGAAATAAGGTATTCTTTCTGCAGATTTTTGAAGGAAAGAGATTTGTTTTGTTGTGTCTCACTTTCTGAGGGGGCCATGTTCGTTTTTGGGTCGGACACACAGCTTCAGCCAGACCAGAGTTCCCGATGGATGTTTGTCCCAGGGATGCCCTCACTGAAGCATTGTGCAGCTTCCTTCTAACCAGACTGTGGGGGAAAAGTCCGACTGCCGAGGCCGGAGCGCCACCTTGTGGCCAGAGTCGCATGATGCCTGAGCATTTCCCCACTCTAGAACCCTGGGCAGCATCTTCAAGTCAGACTAGTTCCTAAGAACAGCATTCCCCCTCCTGTAAAAGTTCCAGCTCCTAATGCCCTAGAACTTTAGGTGCCAAGAAGTTTCTGCTGAATTGTGAAACAACTTGATGTACCAAGAAGAATCAGGGACCAGGTATGTGACTGAGAGATGCTTAGAAGGTCCTGAGCCATCCAAAACAATGTCTACCTGGTCCTCTGAGAATAAACACACACACCATATGCCCACACTCCTTTGCCTTTCTCCCCTTCTTCCTTACAGACTTCAAACCTCATGAAATAAAAGTGCAAATGCCTTGGGGAGGGGTCTGCCCCTGGGAAGTTTATTTGCACTCAGGTACAAGTGGCTTTGCAGATCCTCTTATGAGTCCATCTTTTTAGTGATTGGCTGTCTTCTTGGGTTTGGGGGTAACTTATTATCTCTATTAAAGACAACTACAATAGTTTTTTTTAAAAAAAAGATTTCTTAGCTTCCTCACAGCGCCTGTTCCTGACACTGAATTGGGAATCTAGATGCACCCTCATGACTCAAGACTCACTGGACCAAGAGTTGCAGATGAAAACATAAACCAACTTTCTATCCCTAATTCTAGGAAACATTCTAGCGTGGGGGTCAACAAAGTTTTCCTTAAAGGGCTAGATATAAATATTTAAGGCTTTGCGGGTCACACGGGCTCTGTCACAACTACTTAATTCTATCATTGTATCATAAAAACAGCCATAGACGATACGTAAACTATGGTGTGGCTGTGTTCCAATAAATCCGTTTTTAAAAGCAGGTGGTGGGTCCTAGTTGTGGACACCTACTGTAGGGAGATGGTGCTGGGTAGGACCTTAGAAATCATCCAAACAACACTCTCATTTTACAGATGGGGGAATGCATCCAAGAGAGGCAAAGAGCCAGACTAGTTCATGCCTGCCAGCTCAAAGAAGGTATGGGTCCTCCTTTCCGTTCTGAGGATGTCTCTCTGAAGCACACACAAGCACACACTTCCTTCTCAGAAGCCCTGCTCTCCTTCTTCTCATCAACATCTGCTTTGGAGAAATGGCTGGTAATGTGCAATACCATCATTTCCTCTCACTTTTCTGTAAAGGGTCTGTCCTACCCGCTCTAGTCTAGGCCTTTCCCACCTGATTTATAGCACGATCAGTTATCAGGGGCTTACTAATTGCTGAGCCAGTGCCAGGTGCCTGCTGTTTACATCTCATTTCATCTTCTAAACAATCCTATTAGGTATAACTTCTTTTAGCAAATGAAGAAACTGAGGCTAGAAAAGTTAAGTAGCTTGCCAAGATTCCACAGATAGGTAAGGGCAGTGCCAGGATTTGCTTACTTCCACGTACAGCCTCTGGTTCATGCGTGTGGATTTAACCAGGCTAGAATTTAGAATTCTAGAATTTAGCCAGGCCAGCCCCACTGTTTCCTCCACCCAGACACCATCTTGCCCACCCTCAAGGACCACCTCAAAGCCGCTTTTTCCACGAAGCCTTCTCCTGCCCTTCTCTGGTCACATATAGTGCAGACAACACAATTAAGCCCGACAGTGCTCCGTCTTGTCCTGATCCCTGCGACTTCATGTGCACTAACATTTTCACCCGGACTCTGCTGTAAGTCCTCAAAGGTAGCACCAGATACATGATAGGTACTTGATATATACCAATAGGGACTTGATTAATATGTGTGCCAAACACTATACTAAGCCCCTTAAACATATTCTCTCTAATACTCACAAGAACACCCCAAAGTAGGTACTATCATCTCGCTTCACAGACGAGGAAGCTGAGGCTCAGAGAGGTAAGTACCTTGCCCCACACCAGCGAGTTCTGGCAGATGGGAATGATCAGCAGTGAGTGCTTATGAGAGGAGAGTTGGGTATTATATATGAAAGAGCGATGTCCTGGCCGGGTTGGCTCAGTGGTTAGAGCATCAGCCCATGGACCAAAGGGTCCCGGGTTCGATTCCCAGTCAAGGGCATATACCTCGGTTACAGATTCAATCCCTGGGCCTTGTCAGGCTTTGTGCAAGAGGCAACCAATCTATGTGTCTCTCTCACATTGATGTTTCTCTCTCTCTCTCTCTCCCCCTCTTCCCTCCCTTCCAGTCTCTCTCTAAAAATCAGTGGAAAAAATATCCTCGAGTGAGAATTTAAAAAAAAAGAAAGAAAAAGTTTCTTCTAGGTCTTCAGATTCTAAGTTCTGGCCACCTAAAAGTAATTTTACTCTAACAAGCTGATTAACCTTAAGCCAAAGAAATAAAGATGCACCAACACAAGATAGATTTGTGGAACTGAAATCCTCTTCAATTTCTTCTGACAGCCTCAGCTGAACCTTTGCCTAAGCTCATCGAAAGTCTACCAGAATTTGTAAGTCAGTGGGGTGTGACCCAAGGTGGACTCTCGTGATCACATTTATGTCTCTGAAGAACTCACCTTTGCATCTCGGACATCTTTCCCCAAACTCTTGGACAAAACATCAGCATATTGCTGTATTGTCAGCGCTTCTGCACTGATGCCCACAGCCTTGCCTATAAACTCTGCTGGAGAATTAAAAATGCTACAGACAACTGCTCCAACATCAGCAACAGAGATGCCATCCATTGGTATGTCACCCATAGGCAGTGCTAGTAAAAAAAAAAAAAAAAAGATAAAAATAGGTAATTATATCACATCCTTGGTAGGTTCCACAAACTTTAATTAACTACTAAACAAAAGGTACAGGAAAGCGATGTAACACCGAGTGGCCACAACCTATTCACAATTAGTTACAAGGTTTTACTTAAGAAAATACCATAATGCCTGGGTATCGATTTTTTAAAAGCCACCATTTACTAAATATCTACTATGTACAAAGTATGATTAGTTATAGCTCCAACCTAGACATCTCTGCTGAATTCCAGACTCAATTTGTCCAACTTCCTACTCAACATCCTTACTTGATTGTTTAATAGACATGTTAAACTCAATGAGTTCCCAAATTAATTCCTACATCCCCAACAACTTGCTCCCCCTACAGACTTCCCCACCTCAACTTTATCATTCCAGTTTCTCAAGTCAAAAATCTTGGAGCCCAGCTGGGCGTGGCTCAGCAGTTGAGCATCGACCTAAGATCCAGGAGATTGCGGTTCGATTCCCAGTTGGGGTACATGCCCGGGTTGTGGGTTTGATCCCCAGTCGGGGGCATGCAAGAGGCAGCTGATCAATGACGACTCTCTCATCATTGATGTTTCTCTCTCTCTCCCTCTGCCTTCCTCTCTCTGAAGTCAATAAAGATATATATTTTTTAAAAATCTTGGAGTCAGCTTGACACTTCTCTCACACCCCATATCTTTTTTTTTTTTTTTT